TTTTCGGATTATCCGACATGCAAGGAATTATATGCACGCATCTGTTGTTTTTACCTCACTTTTATTAATTTTACGTGCAACAATGTAAGTGATGACATTTTGAAATGCATTCTCTTGCTGTAAGTATAAACATAAATATCTGTGCGTGGTCAAGAATAATTTTTCTTTCAAATTAAGCGGTTTTCGTTGAATATTACGGAGTATTTTCACTTTTTTCCTTGCACATATGTATGTGTGTACGGTTGAGAGAATGCAAATTGGGAAGAGACGTCTTAGCAAGTTTTGGCTATTTTTCTATGTTTTAAAAATTCAAATCACCATTTTAAACTTTCTAGAACATTTACGTATAAAAATTCAACGAATTTTAACAATTGAGCCGCTTATTTTGAAAGTGGCATAAGTCACTTCACACCTCTTGTACTTAAATGACTGGTTACTTGTATTTGGACTCGTCGGTCATTTGTTCATTTACATCAACCAGTGCCGGATTAAGGGCAGGGCCGACGGGGCCGTGGCCCAGGGCCCCCACATTTAGGTTGCTCCCATATGTGAAATGGAAATTTCCGTGGAATGCTGGAACTAATAGCTCAGAATGACCCCCGGACTTATCAAAATATCCGAAATAAGGGACGATGGCGCGTGAATTATTTATCAACAACCTGCGAGAAAATTGTAATTTTGAGAGGTGAGAAAGTACAGGCAGAAATAATAAGCCAGATCAAAGAGACAAAATATTCGTACTATTGCATCTCTGTTCATAAACGAGACTGCCGGGGTCAGTCGTTTAATACTGCATGCACCATTAGCGGCAAGTACAAAAGAATTCAGGAGAGAATTAACGATACTGTTAAATTGAAAATATAATTTGTTTTTTTTTTTTCATTTAATTGGATGTAATTTTTAATTAAAAAACGGGTCCGCCCCACATTTTTAATCTGGCCCTGACATCAACCAAAGGTAAAAGGTTTTGTCATTACCTTATGATGATAGAAAGATTTTAACTCATTTACGTACAAGAGGTATGATTTATGCCATTTTCGAAATAAACGGCTCAATTGCTCATCAAAATTTTAAACCTTTTTATCAGATTTTTTAAAACTTTTTTTTAAGTAAACAATTTTGTGTAGCTCATTAAACTTTAGTGCAATAAAGTGCAATTTTAAGTAGCCACGACTTTCCGTTGATTTTTAGCAATTGTTTGTTCACGCATTTTCTTCCATACAAAGTATGTTCGACATTTTTCTGTATGGAGAAAATGAGCAACACCTTCAGTACACAGAGTGCACAAATAGTGACGCAAGAGTTCGTGCAGAAGAGCGAACCACAATTATGCTAGTTTGTACACGTCGTACGTACGGATCCCTTGCCTTCGCATCCATAGGTGAACTATGACAGCCATGGCGACCTCGATCCGAATCAAGCTGGTTGATAGATAGATATTAAATGAGGGATGCACTGCAAACTTGTAATTTGTTGTACCATCCACTCATCACAAAACATATTTTATGCCTATTATAACCAGAACGTTTAGAAGAGCTTTGGAAGTAAGGAGTGTATATGTTCTTCCTTTACTACTCACCCATTGCCTCGATGCGGCATACATACATATGGAGCACTCAAGGTGGAGGAACTATGGTGTCTTTTTAGTTGAGTCGCAAACATCACAGAGATCATTCGACCAGATTCTCAACATACGAGCTCAGCAGTGCCCCGTCAGGACTCCTTCTCTTTTGGGAGGTTAATTAGAAGTTCTATTATAGTATAAGTAATATTCTCTACTTCTTTTGTTTGTGTCTATTGCAAGAAATTGTTCGAGGCCTATTGGGGCTGAGGAAACCCCAATCCGAGCCAAGCCATTCCCATGTATTCCGTTGCTCGGCCGTTGGACCAAGACTAAAAAGCTTCTCCAATTTTCTATCTCCTGTGCGAATTCGCACCGGTTGCTCATCCCGAGTGCAGACAGGTCCTTTGTTCTCATGCGTCTTTGCTTTCGTAGTCTACCTATGGGTGCGGAGTATCACAAGCGGAGTGTCCAAGCCAGCACAATCGCTGTGTTTTTATGCGCTCTTACAGTTCATCATTCCATCTTCTCCGATACCCATCCCCCACGCGATAATGACCGTAGATTTTGTTTAGAATAGTTCTCTCGAATGTACCCATAATATTCCGAGGCTTTTTTAGACTTTTCATTGGGATCTATTTTTAAGTGGCGGGCCCAGCTCATAACCCATTGCTGGGAGCTGAGATTTAAGCTCTCCATTTTCCTGGACGATAAATCAAAGTGCAGAAGACCTCTCTACGCTTGGGATGAATATCTAGCAAAACTTCGCAAAGGAGAGAGGCAACTGGCGAGAATTTTAAAACTCGTCCCCAACCGACAGGCGTTTGATGTCCAAATGAGAGTAATAATATAATGGAAGTAATATCCAATTAAATGAAAAATGTCACATTGAGTGAAGAAATTTATTTTTAACCAATAAATCAGCTGTTGATAGCGACGCTATAAGGACTTTCTGATAGACCAAAATTGTTCCCAAGTCGCAAGTATTAGGGTAGCTAAATAATCAATGAATTTCAAAGCCAAAACATGTCTCTCTCTATCACTCTTCAAAATAACTACATATTTGTTTCAATTATTTAAAATCAAATAAATTCGATGTGTATTAAAACGAAATATTTCGTCTTATTCTTTTCATTACAGATGCATACACAATATGGAACTTGCGATTTGTAAAACAGAGTTGCCAACTACCAGATTTATGCTACCAACTTCACCGGCCGCCTTCTATCAGAAGAATAACGCTCACTTCAGTGAGATATTAGGTTTCAATACAAATTATTTATTTAATAAAAATAATACAAGCAATTGTAATAGTAGTGACAATCATAATAACAACAACAATAACAACAGTCATAATAATAGTGCCAGTGTTAGTGCTACGTCTAGTCAAATCAATACTAATCAAAATATTAGTGTTAATAACAATAATTCAATTTTGAGCAATAGCAACAACAACAACAACAACAACAACACCAACAATAGCAGTATGCGCCTGAAAAAGAATCGGAGAGTGACTTTCCTGAAGAATCTGATTGAGGTGAGTGTGCCACTTGGATGTAAGAAAAAATTCCAAATAAATAAGTAATACCTACATACTATATCATTTTTAACACAAAGCCAAAACATCTTATCAAAATGCGTGTACACATCAGTCAATTTTGCATTAAATATGCAACGAATGTTGTCAAAATTTGCATAATTTGCTTTCTATACATTACACTTTACTGTATTCAATGTGAGCGTACAATAGGGGCTTGCTTATTTGTGTGGAACTTTTTTCGCTAAATATTAAAATACATTTTTGTTTTTTTTTTGCAAGTAAAATATTATCTCAAAAATAGAAATCACTCGAGAAAAGATTTCGAAAGCACAAAAAAGGCATTTGGCTCTTACATAAGCTGCCTTGAGTGGGGCTAAGGTTCTCTTTTTCAGTTTGTTGTACTTGTGGTTCTGCTTCCGGCTGGCAAATGGTTGTATGAGTAGGTTTAGGTTTGATTCAGACTTAAAAGTACAAACCTTTAGATTCATAATTTCAAAAAGAAACTTTTAGATCCACCCTAATGCATCTAGAGAAGTTTGCGCTTTTAGTTATTTAAGTGATACGTACTGCATACTTCATTAGTCTATATGTATGTAATAATTAATTTTGGCTCGTTTTGTGACAATGACTGCATTTGTTCTTGGCATAAATATCTGTGTCCATAATTTGCGTGCAATGTGATAGCAATTTTAAAATATACATATGACCAAGTTTGTTATCTTAAATTGTTCTCTATTGTGTGACAAGTAAATAAAAAAAAAAATAATTATTTGGCGCTCGCATTTTTGTGAAGTCTACGGCCGAGGCCCAACTTATTCTCCGATTGGTGAATTAGCGTCTTGCTAGTGCCACACTAGAAAAGAAGCTTATAGTATACCTTCGTCTCTGAACGGCAAATGATTTTACTTTGTTTGCCGAGCGATGGGCGCGGTAGTTGAGCTGAATCTGGGTCCCACCGATGTACAAAATATTGCACAGAGAAACTAGTGAAAATGTACGCGACCGAAAATTCTCTTACTTCTAAAGATAACTGTCAATTTTTCATGACCGAAGCAAAAAAGAAAATCTTAAAAACTATTTAAAATGTAGCCTAAAAACGCAAGTACGTTATCAGTATTATAAGACAGGTAGCCGTGTATAATTAAAGTGATAATGTGGGCGTAAAGACTCGCTTATCTGCACATTTTCCCATAATAGCTGGTCAGAGAAAATATCGAGAATAGAGAAACAAATCGTCATGAGGCTAAAAGTGTATTCGTGCTTCTTGTATGGGAACGGCCATCTTATCTAATTTAACCTAACCTAACAACTACTTCAACATTTACTGGCAAAACACTTGAATGGTTGATAGTATCAAAAGTAGGAATTTAAAATACCTAAAAATAAACTAGAATACCAGTATTTTATTGCTGCTTATCTAGAATCAATCAAATGACTTTCGAGTAAATTTTGATATCAAAACACATAATACCGTTCCATTGATTGTGAGTCAACGCCAGCAACAGAGAAGAATATTTCTCTAATAAAATTAGACAATTTACATAAATTATTAAGAACCTTAAGTAGTAGCAAATGCGAGTTAACTCTCCACTATAAAAGGAGTTGTTGGAGATGTGTACTACCTCTTCTTAGTTTTTTTATTTGTTATTACTACCGGTTATTGGTCTAGGCGGAGAACAAGAAACATTACCTTTTGCCTCTCTCCTTTGCCAGTTACTCGTCGAGAGTTTGCACAAGTCCTTTTGCAGGCGCCCTTACTTTCAGTTTTGCGTGTAAACGTATCCGTTTAGGTAAAAATTTGCTTCATCGCTCATGTTGTTTTTTTTTTTTTTTAAATCGGCATCATCACTTTAAGGCGCAGAATTGTAGCGGATGACAGTAAAGCGGTCGTCGGTTAACCGCTTTCAAAATTAAAACTCACATAGGCATATGGAATAGCTCATTATTACTTAAGTTGCCTTTGGCGATTAACCCATTAAAGAAAGTGTTTCTTTTTCAACTGTAATCAATTATTTAAATGTCGTGGAATATTCAGGTGAATGTATCTATCATTTATTTGTTACTTTCCTATTTTATTACCAAAAAATTTACTTTAAAATGTAGATGCTAAAGATTGTCAGTAAAAAAAAGTGTGAGTACTGGTCCGTCAGGTCTTGAAATACGACGAATGTTTTAGAGAATTTCATGTAGTTTTCGAATATATAATTTGATCTTTCTTTTTGTTAATTTCGCGAAAAGAATTTTTCAAACAATGAAAAAATTTCACCAAACATTGTGAAAAAAGCGAGTTTTTATACCTAAGTCATTTTATAGTACAACCTTTGTTTTCTGAGGGTGGAAAGGAGGTAGCAAAATTTAACCAAAATTCCATCACATTTAATGACTGGGTCCTCATTTTTTGTGACTTTGGGACGTTATAGTGACCAAATTATCCCCATATTTTATATTTAGGTTTTTCTAATAAAAAAGAGATTTCGAAATCGGATGAAATTTAATGTTTCCGCCCACAAGAGAAGAAGGCGTGGCAATTATTCCATCTTTACCAAATTTCTTAATTCCCTATTTCTAAGTAAAACTAGATCACTGTCAAGTTTCAGTGAAATCGGTGCAGGTGTACTATTATTTCCATCTGCCTCCATATAGTCGAAACACTGTGCGGCGCGGAGAATTCCTTCCCAATCTGGATGGAATATAAAGTTGTGCTGACCATCATTTTACATAGCCGTATTAGTTTCGCAGACATCCCAAATTTAAACATGATTGTTGATCCAGCTTCTCTTCGTAACTAATGTCTTTTCCATGATTTGACGCACTGAGTAAATATTGCAATCGTTAATTTACCAAGTCTATAGCTACACTGATTAGGTTCTTATATACATCACTTAGATAATTTAACCCGCGGTAATTAGCGCAAACAGCAGGATCTCCCTTCTGTTGATATGAGCTAAGTAGTTACACTGAGATTTACATCTACGGGCAGAACAAATGCTGCTAAAAGGCTTCGAAGGGCTTTTTCGTCAGCTCCAGGCACTTCGTTGCTTTTAAGCCGCATTATTGCCGTTCTCACCTCATATTGGTCAAGTGGAGGAACGTGAGCTTGGCCCGTAAAGATTTCAATATTATCGATCTCATTTTAATGTATGCTTAAATATCTGAAGCTGTCCTATCTCTGCCTATGTTTGGGTGCACATATTTAGATAAGTATGTATATTTTTGAACTAAATATGAAATTAAATACAGTGAAATCTCAATATAATGAACCGTTGATAAAACGAAAAACCAAATCTTTGCTAAGTACTCTGAAAAGACGCCGTTGTTTCTCCATAGATATTTATAACGAAGAAATTTTGAGCATGAAATGCTTCGGAATATATTGACGGCTAAAATCCCATTGGCAATAGTCTCTATGTTACGAAGCGTCGAACCGAAAGCCTCTACATATCGACATCTGAATATGTTGACGGTAAAAAAGCTTCTACATAACGAAGTCTCAACTCAAAAGCCTCTACAGCGCGTATTTCGCATATGTTGACGGTTAGAGTCCCGCTATAAAATAAAAGAAACTATACTTATAGCGATTTTTTTTTGTATTTTACGTTTTTTATTGTATCGAGGTGTTGATATTCTTGCATTTTCCCAACTTCAATTTGGCTATATCAACATTTCACTGCGGTACAAAGTTTTTGAAAAAATACGACTCGCTCATTTCTGTCAGTTAAATCAATGAAATTACGCCTTCAATCGCTTCCATTATAAATTACTTTGATTTATCATATTGCTCGATTATTTGCTGTCGTCTTCCGCTGCGTTCGCATAAAGTTCACATTTGAATATGTAAGATCAGAATTTATGTACATACATATATGCTGCTGCTGAAAGAAGCCATTCGTTGGGGCTGGCAAAGCTACTGCATTAGGCATTGAAATAATTGTAGAAACCACACGCTCCCACATAGATATGTATGTATGTTCATATGTACGCTTATTTATTAATATCCTCTTTTGCGGGCGTATGCTTTGGAAATAAACGTGTGCCTCAGCATATTGGCCATGCCAGTCACGTTATTAGCCAGATTTGTGCAAAGCCAAATGCAACTACATACATACATATATATGTATGTGTATTTGTATGTATGGCTGTTTATTATTGTTGTTGGCTTTCATTTAAAGTGATCATCAAGCAAGCGCATACAAATAATACTAAGTATGCAAATAAATAACGTATATAGTGCTTATGATAACTATACGACACCCACATGTTGAGAAGTGTACACTATTTATGTATTTGATTATTATTTTTTTTATAAAAATGCAGTTCATTGTATAACAAAAACCATATAAACCCCAGTTTCAAACTTGCCACAAAAATTAAAAAAAAAAATCAATAATTTTCATAAAATTTTCACACCTCTTAATCAGCTTGTTTTGGCACCCAGTTTTTTTAAAGCCCATTGAATTCTAGTGAAAAATGCAAGTTTAAAGAGGCTACAAAATACAGCTGATTTATGGAAATTTTTTAATTTTTTTTGTCGGTGTCACTCATTTTCTTCCATACAAAGTATTTTTGGAAATTTTTTTTATATGGAGGAAAATCCACGACATCGTCTATAAAAACCAAAAAAAAAAAAATGCCAAAAATCGACGGCATTGTGTAGCCACTCTAAACTTACACTTTACTATACGCACATATTAAATTAAATGTGCTATAAAACTGCATACCCAAAAATGTTTTAAATATTCTGATTAAAAAGCGTGAAATTTCGATACAATATTGTTAATTTTTATACAAAGTTTTAAACTTTGATTTATAGGATTTTCGTTATAGAATAAACTATAACATCTTCATAAAAAAAATATTTAAATTAAATAATTGTGGCTGTCGTATATATATGACAAGCACTATATATATACATATATGTATGTATGTACGATTTGCACGCGCTGAGTGACAATGCTGACAACGATGAGTGTCTTTAAATAGACATATTTATCCTTAGA